CCTCATCACCGTCCAAAGATCATCGCATTGTTACGATTGTCAGATAGTGTTTCACTTTTTATTTTTCATTTTTTTTTACAAATCAGAATGATCTGAAATTTGGAGCATATGTTCATAAAAAATAGAAATATACGAAAAATATCATAAAATTACATGAAAAAATTGACCAAAATACCCCAAAAACATTTCTGGGGTATTTTAGTTAATTTGGCTTCCACGAATTATTATTTTTTATATTTTTATTAGGTGTGCCTCACTAAGATGTATACACACTTCAAATTTTATGTCATTTTTATTTGTAGAAAAAAATGAAAAATAAAACATTATCAGACAATTGTGACTGTGCGATGAGCTTTAGATGGTGATGAGGGTGTATTTTGGTCAATTTTATTTTCACGGATAATTTTTTTTATATTTTTATTAGATGCGCCTCAGTAAGATTTACAAACCCTCCAAATTTCAGGTCATTCTGATTTGTAGAAAAAAAAATAAAAAATAGGACAACCATGACCACACAATGAAATTTGGACGGTGATGAAGGTAGGCAAAAAAAACTTGAAAATCTTTAAAATCTTAAAAATTTACGGTCCCAAAATGTGTTATAGGATGCAGTTATATTTTAAAACTTGAAATATATTTTTTTCTCATGTCCATGCATCTATATGCCGAGATGATCAATTTGAGGATATTTGAGCATCAAAGCAACCTCTTCTAGTACAAGTTTTTAGGTGGGCTCTAATTTGACTGTTTAGAGCCTCGGCTCTATATAAACTTTTTTCGTAATATAATTATATTTCAACTTTATAATAGACTTTGGATTTGGATCTAGATTTGAATATTTGCGATCCGATGTATACTTTTAGGATTTGGGTCTGAACCGGATCCAAAAAATTCTAGAGAGAGAAAAAGAGGAAGAGAGAGGTGTATCTTACCCACTTGGAGATGTCAGCTACAAGAGCAAGGACTTGGTTGGCGATGGTGGAATTGTAAGAGTTGACTAAGATATCAATCGCCTTAGCAGCTTCTGTTGCCTTGGCGTCGGGACCTTGTTCAATATCTTAAGGAAGTTGACAACTTCTTAGCAACAAGCAAGAACCTCGGACTAACACACACCCACATTAGTGCCTAGTAAGGGATGGCCTGGCCCGGCTCAAAAATAATTGGAGCCAGTGGGCCACTAGGCTGATCTCTTAGGAAAAATATCAAAATAGTGGTTGAAACCCATTACAAATTCAATAAAGGGGGTCATAAGATTACAAATTACAATTGGGAGCATGCTTTTAAATTTTGTATTAATCAGATATTTTTTTAAAAATAATATTGAAAAATTCACAAATTGTCTTTATTGGTGTTGGGAAGCCATATTATTTAGAGGTAATTTGATAATTTTACTCCCAAAGAGGCTTTAACCGAATGAGTGAAGTTTCTCTTTGGGGATAAAATTACCAAAGTACACCAATTGTTCTTTGGCCATAAAAATTACTACAGTGTCCCAATTGTTTAGGCTTCCCAACACTGAATAAGAGCAATTTGGGAGAATTTCAGCATTATCTTTGAGAAAAATACTTGATTAATATAAAAATTTAAAAATTTGTTCCCAAATGTAATTTGTAATCTTTTAACCCCATTTAATAATATTGTAAAGGGTTTTCAACCTTGACCGTACTTAGCCTAGAAGCCCAACCACCCGCCCTTTCCATTCAAAACCTTACCCACTTATGCACATAAGATAGAGAGCTTATGTATATTCCCATTACTTTCTCGTTTCTTTTTTAAAATCACATATTCTTGTTACCTTGTCAAAATCGGTGTTGATGGTGTGGAGGAAGTTATCCGACGGGTTTCTCAATAAAGGACAAGGCAAGCCATTGAGTGTAAAAAAGTCATTTGCTTCGGAGGCTTGGCCAAAAATCAGAGTCCTCCCAGTGGAGAGCAGGCATAGTGTGTTGAAGAGGCCGAAGACCTCAGCACTAGGCTGGTGTATCGAAGCAACTACAGTTCGATCATCATGCTGGGCCAAACGAGCAATTCGAGTCATGACATGGTAAGAGGCAGCACTGTCGAGCCCACTAGTGGGCTCATCAAGAAAGAGAAGGTTGGGCCTCGTGAGGATCTCAATACAAATGCTCACTCTTCTCTTTTGGCCGCCACTGAGCCCCTTGGCCCCCCAACCCCCAATCCTTGTGTGCATTGCATCTTGTAAACCCATCTCTTGAATGGTTATCTCAGCCCTCCCCTTCTTTTGAGAGCTCAACATGGTGCTTGGCAAGTGGAGCTGGCCTGAGTAGTACACCGCTTCCCATACTGTTAGAGTACTCATGAGTGCATCATCTTGGGTCACATAAGCCTATATCCCAAAAAATAATTGAGCTTATATATATATATATTAGAAAATAGTTGGGATAAGACTCAGACGATGATGATAATTAGAAATTGGATGTGATTGATGTTCAT